TGTTGCAACAAAAACCTTTTGCTGTGCAAGAGGCTCTCATGTGGCGGGAAAATTCCACCGTGCCGAGGCACCAAAATCACTGGGTTGTGACAGAAGGGACCTAAGCAGATCATCAAGTCCGACCCGCTGCCATGGCAGGAAAGAATGCTGGGGTCAAACGACCCTGGCAAGGTGATTATCTAGCCTCCTTTTGAAGGCCCCCAGGGTAGGAGCCAGCACCACTTCCCTTGGAAGTTGGTTCCAGCTCCTAGGTGCCCTGACTGTGAAGTAGTGCCTCTTGATATCTAGCCTGAATCTACTCTTGGTCAATTTATGGCCGTTATTCCTCATTACTCCCGGTAGTACTCGAGGGAACAGGGACTCTCCCATAACCTGCTGGTTCCCCTTGGCCAGTTTGTAGATGGCCACCAGATCCCCTCTCAGCCTTGTCTTGTGGAGGCTGAACAGGTTCAGGTCCCATAGCCTCCACTAGTAGGGCCTGCCGTGCTGCCCCCGATCATGCAACTGGCCCTCCTCTGGACCCTCTCAATGCTGTCCACATCCCTCCTGAAGTGTGGTGCCCAGAACTGGACGCAGTACTCCAACTGTGGCCTGACCAGTGTCACATAGAGGGGGAAGATCACCTCCTTGGATCTGTTTGTGATGCATCTGTGGATATTCATGCAGCAGGGATCATCACAGAAATTCAGGCTTGGTCAGAGCTGATCTTGCCTGTAGCTCCTTGAAAATCCTGAAGGGCCTTGAATTACAGTGTCCCCTTGGGCTTTTTCACTGTTAAAAAAGCTGCATTTTAGAGCTGGGATAATTAACAGGGTGGGTGAGAGGCCAGAGGCATAGGCCTAACCTTGATGAATACCTCATGGTAAAACTAAAGGGTCTTGTCTTCATTGTATTTTTACCTCAGGATATCTCACACATGTTATTTACCCTAAGATAAAGACCGCAGCTTTTTTCAGCAATAAAGATAAGCAGTGAGATTCCCTGAGGAGACAGTCAGTGGGTTAACATTTAATTCTTCTGAACAAAAGAGTGTGAGTGTCCTTTTTCTGTCCAGTCATATGGTCTGAGTCAGTTGTGCAGTAAATGGTGATCCTCCTGCTGATCACGACACCTAGAGTCAGATCAGTAACAGGGCTTTGTGTGCTGTGCAGCTTGGAGACAGCAGGAGAGTGCTTGAAATGGGAGATCAAGCTCTCCACAGCAGTGTCTTCTGATAGTGCAGATGCACAAGTTGTGAACATATGCCAGACTGTACATGTTGCAGGCATTACCAGCTTTTATTATGTTAACTCTTTTCTCTCAAATTAGCATTCAGGCTCTGGTTTTGGCAACCCATTCTTTTCCAAAAATGCCCAGAAACACCTCTGAGATAGCAGTTCCTTTGTTAACAATTGCTGCTGAACTCTTTCCTTTGTTCTTCAGGCAAGATCCTTAGCAAGCTGGGGAAAAATGGGAACATATAATGAGACTTAACAGTTTTATTTACTATGCAGAACATAAATAGTTAACAAATGAAGTGGGCTGATCTGTGACAAGCCAATTAGCTCACTTGTCACAGCTAAAGCTGGACCAGTGTTTCTAGTTCTCACGATTTTATCATGCAATATTCAGTGTTTTTCTTAAAACTTCTGAAAGCAGGTGATTAAGGGCAAATCTTGGATTTCAATTAGTAAGACAAACCAAGTTTCTAGCCCTCATGATTGCAAAGAAAAAAACTTCACCAAGCATACCTCAAAGGCTCAGACATTAGAGGCAAAGAAAAATAACCAGTTATTTTTTTAAACATCCTGAGATTTTTATATCTCATTTCTGATGCTCTCTCATTTGACTGTAAAGGCTTAGAACCTTAATCATAGTTCTGACAAAAAAGGAGTGAATTCACCATAAATATTTTGAATTGTTTGCCCCTCTTATGGCCTTTGAAATCTCACACTGTACAATGTTGAGCAGTTCTAGTTACTCCATTAATTCCACAACACATGCTCAGGCCATCTCACTCCCCTTCGCATGGAAATTATGCTCCCACTTATGGCAGAAATGCTAAGCCATAGGGATATAGTTTTCGAAGCAACCTGAAGGCCCTGTAAACAGAGGAGATTATTTCATTACTTTTAAATATCTTTGTTTAGAACTGTTTCCGACGATTATAGAAGTGATGTGCAATGTAGATCTCATATTAAGTGAGACTGCCTCAACATTATTTACAACAGGGGCAGGCAATTATTTTGGGCAGAGGGCTGTTTACTGAGTTTTGGCAAGCCATCGAGGGCCGCATGACAGGCAGCCCAGGGCAGATTAATATTAATTTTCTAAATTTTTTAGGGGCCCCGCGGGCCAGATAGAAGGGCCTAGTGGGCCACATCTGGTCCCCGGACCGCATTTTGCCCACCCCTGATTTACAACCATGCTACTGATGCTTGAAGTTTTCTGAATTGGCCTGATGGATGCACCAAAGAACTATAAGGTCTTACACCTCATCACACCTTCTCCTGGCCTCTCTACAAGTAGGTTCTGCTACGTTACACTCTCTTAATTTAGAGAATAGAAATAACTCTAATGTAGTTTCACTGAGCGTGAGGAAATCTAAATTTCATATCACCTTTTGTCCCTTTCTACCTCCTATACTCTTGTTCTTCATAAGTTGCAAATTCTTCCACTTTTCCATGCTGTTGCATGGAAAAATGCACCCTGGGTAGTCATTTCTCACCTGTCCTGTCCCCACCCCTTTCTTCCTCCCTTCTTGATTGCAGATTCAGAAATAGAGCAGGGGGCCTGGCAGTGTACAAGGCATTCTGAAAACTGTTCTCTAGACTGTCAGTGGATTTTCTTGCTGCCAGAAGGAAGGGGTGAGGAATCTCATTCTATTTTTTTCTGCCAAAGCCCATGTCTAGAGGACAAAAAAAAAACTGAATTGGTGGCAAAAAATGGAGGTTAATTCTTCACCCCCAGCAGCAGCAAGCTTCACTGCTGTTCTAAAAAAAACTATGATTCCCAGAATTCCTTGTGCCCTTTGGCACACATTGCCTGTGCTGGCAATGTATTATAGAGGCAGGCAGATGGCAGACAGCAGGGAGGCAAGAAGTAGCCCTTGGATGAGGTATCCCCCTCCCCCTGTTCTTCCAGCATCTCTCCATTTAGGTGGTGCCCCCAGCATGTGCTCCACTTATCAACCCCATATAACACTCCTATTGCTGACACAATATGGGCGTTCTTACCTCTAAATCAAGTCTGAAAAATCAATTACAAGATAACTGCCCTATTCTAATTAACCCCCATTTGGGGTGTAAGGTTACAGATGCCAATGGAACTAATTGCTAGAGAAGTTAATTGGAGTCCCATGTTTCTGATTAAAGCTAGTGTTGTCATCATCATCTTCTACCTTTGCTTGTCTCATCTAAATGGGGTCGTTGTTGTGGATCCTGGCTCTCCACTGGCAATTTCTTTTATCTTGGATCCACATCATGATGATTTGGCAGAGGTTTTTACAGCCAGATGCCCTTCCTGATGCTAACCCTTTATCCGGGCTTGGGACCAGTATTGGATGAGTAGAATCACTCATCCATGGCAGAGTTTTCTGATGAAAGCTAGTAAGCACAAAGTTCACACTTCAGGGAGAGATGACTCCTGGGAAGGGACGCCACCTACCTCATGCGGAAGGGTAAGTCCCTGTTCTTGGCCAGGATGGCCAATCCTCTAGATAGGGCTTTAAACTAAGATCACCGGGAGATGGGGAAACACTGACTGGAGCATGCCTGGGGACTGGCACACAAGAAAGCTCTGAAATTGGGGACACTAGGAGAGCCACTCTTGCAAGAGCTGAGGGAATGGTTCTCCCTCAGCATGACAGGAAATTGAGGGTCTCAGTAGGAGGACTCAGGTACCTGTACACTAATACCAGGAACATGGGGAACAAGCAGGAGGAGCTAGTCCTACTCTCCAGTGGGCATTATGATCTAGTAGGGATTACAGAGACCTGGTTGGACTCCTCACATGATTGGAACGTAACCATAGAGGGCTACACTCTGCACAGAAGGGACTGAGTAGGGAAGAAAAGTAGAGGTATAGTCCGACATTGGCTCCAAAGAAAAGCAGCTCGAAACACTGTGGGTCAAACTATAGGAGAAGGTGGGGGGCGCAGTGAGAGAGACCTAATTATAGGTGTATACTACAGACCACCAAACCAGGGGGAGGAGCTCAATCTGGAGTTCTCTTGAGAACTGGCAGAGGCTGCGCACAGGACATGGTTGTCATGGATGACTTCAATTACCCAGACATCTCTTGGGAGGAACACTCGGCCTAGTCGGATCAGTTGCATTGCTTCCTGACCTGTATTGAAGAGCTCTACTTGACTCAGGAAGTACACGGGCCAACCAGAGGTAATGCTCTCCTAGACTTAGTCTTGGCCAAAGGAGACGATTTGGTGAGCGACTTGAATATAAAGGGTAGCCTGGGCGACAGTGACCATGAAACCATCACATTCACTCTCCGTCGCAAGGCAGGCAAATCAGCTAGCAGGATTGAAGTTCTGGACTTCAAAAAACAAATTTCAACGGGCTCGGGGCAATAGTAGGGCAAGTGCTGTGGGACTAGGGACCGAAGGTGAAAGGAATGCATAAAGACTGGTTGTTCCTCAAAGACACAATCCTCAAAGCACAAAAGAAGTCCATTCCCACGTGGAGGAAAGGTAGCAGAAGGGCTGGTAAACCCTCTTGACTTAATAGGGATATCATGGTCCTCTTGAAAAAGAAGAAAGAGGCATACAACAATGGAAGCTTGGGACAGTCCCCACGGAGGACTATACAACAACGGCCCACACTTGTAGGGAGTAGACTAGAAAGGCTAAGGTGGCAACTTAATTTAAACTAGCAACAGAAATCAAGGACAATAAGAAGTCCTTCTTTAGGTATGATGTAGGGAACAGAAGGAAAACAAATGGAAGTGCGGGGCTTTTGTTTAACAACTCAGGACATCTAGTTACCAACACTCAGGAGAAAACTGAACTCCTGAATGACTACTTTGCTTCGGTATTTCACCAGACTAAGGGGAAAATCATACTAGATAAGATTCAGAAAGGGGATGGAGGAAATAACCACCTTCCTACTGTTGATGTTAAGCTGGTGCATGATCAGTTAGAAAAGTTAGATATTTATAGGTCAGCAGGCCTGGATGAACTTAATCTGAGAGTGCTGAAGGAACTGGCCAAAGTCATCGCAGGACCTCTGGCGAAACTCTTCCAAAACGTGTGGTGCTTGGAGGAGGTCCCATCTAGTGTTGTGCCCATCTTCAAGAAGGGAAGGAGAGAGGACCAGGGCAACTATAGGCCAATTAGCTTAACTTCTATCCCAGGGAAAATCCTGGAAAAAATCATCAAGGAGTCTATGTGCAATACACTCCCAGAAGGTAGGATTCTGAATGACAGTCAGCATGGCTTTGTCACAGGCAGGTCTTGTCTTACCAATCTCATCTCCTTCTATGACCAGGTAACTCGCCACCTGGATAAGAGAGAGGAGGTTGACACTGTATACCTAGACTTCCAAAAGGCCTTTGACCTGGTATCCTGTGATGTTTCCACAGGAAAATTGGAGGATTGCAGGCTTAACTGCTGGACGGTTATGTGGCTGGCTGCGGGGTAGGACCCAGAGAGTTCTAATGAACGTTTTGTCCTGGTGAGAAGTGGCCAGCAGTGTCCTTCAGGGGTTGGTGCTTGGTCCAGTGCTTTTCAACATCTTTATCAATGATTTGGATGTTGGGGTGAAGAGCTCACTGGCCAAGTTCACGGATGATACCAGGTTATGGGGGAGTGTGGTCACACTTGAAAATAAGCTGCAGATACAGGCGGACTAGACAGGCTGGGAAGTTGTGAGGATTGAAACCAGATGACGTTCAACATTGAGAAGTGTAAAGTGCTTCATCTGGGCATGAACAATCCCCAGCATACTTACAGGCTTGGTGGCACCAAACTGATTAGCACCACGACTGAAAGGGACCTAGGGGTAATAATAGACCATAGTATGAACATGAGCCATCAATGCAATGCTGGAACCAGTAAGGCAAACAATACTCTGGCATGCATCAACTGATGCATCTCAAGGAAAACCAAGGAAGTGATTCTTCTGCTTTACTCAGCATTGGTGAGACCACAGCAGGAGTACTGCATCCAGTTCTGGGCACTGAACTTCAACAAGGATGTGGGAAACCTTTAGAGAGTCCAGAGAAGAATCACCTATATGATCACAGACTTGCAAAGCAAGCCATATGAGGAAAAGCTGAGTGTCTTGGGCCTTTTCAGCCTAAAAAAGAGAAGGCTGAGGTAGCAGCTTACTGCTATATCAGGGGAATGCACCAAGGGCTTGATGAAAAACTGTTTGCCAGGGCACCCTTGGGGAAAACCAGGAGTAATGGCCACAAACTCCTGGAAGACCGTTTCAGGCTTAACACTAGGAAAAACTTTTTCACAGTTAGGGACTAGGGACAGACATTACACACAAACCAGTTTAAGTGACCAGAAACTGGTTTAAACCTGTAACAGAAAAGAAGTTCAGTGCCCATAAACTAGTTTCAAAATGGCCAAAACTGGTTTAAGATAAACCTGGTTGAATGTAGTATCAGACTCAACTGATTTGGGCCAAACTGGTTTATGGAACTTCTGTCCTAGACCCCTTCCTGGCTTAAGTTAAATCAGAGTCCTCCCGGCATCCCAGCATGCTTTTCAACCCTGGGCTGGCTGTCTGTTCCAGAGAGCAGGGCTGGCCCCATCCCTCTCCTCCCTAGCCAGAGCTCCAAATGACCCGAGAAGGAGGTGAGGGACTGCAGGCACAGTAGTGTCTGCATGGCTTCCCCCTGCCCCATCCTCCCCTCATTCACTGATCAAGCAGGGATCCCCCCTCTCCCACAACAGGGACCCCAGCTGGCATCTGGCCACATCAGCCCCCTGATAGCTAATGCTAAGAGGTATCTCTGTGTGTTTCCAATTTCACTAGAACAACAGATGCATGCAGTCCTCCCTCCCCACACCCCTGCTTTGCCTCAGAGTACTAGATGGGGGCCAGGGTCTAGCAACACTCCCACCGCTTGAGCAGCAAGGGGAGGGGAACCTGGTGAGGACTGCTTCCCCCCGCTCCAGGCACACCCTGGCTGGGGACCATGCAGGCAGGGTGGAGGTTTAAATCCCAACCTAATCATATTATCCTGCTGAGGCCTGGCCATGCCCCACACTCAGCTCTGTAGAAGGGATGGGAGGGCTTACTCTAGTGCCCCCTGGCTTCTAGCCTGAGCCACTGCAGGCATGTACCTGCATTTCTTGATTCAAAAATGAATGTCTATCCACTTGCAAATCAGTTAAATCCCTGGAAGTTAGACTAACCTGCAAAGATTGAATCAATTCAGGCTTGGGCTTTTTGAATATCTGTGTCCAGACAGTGGAATAAACCCCCTCCAGAGATGGTGCAATCATCTACCCTGGAAATCTTCAAGAGGAGACTGGACAGTCACCTCCCTGGGGTCACCTGACCCCAGTTGTCTTTCTTGCCTAGTGCAGGGGGGAGCTGGACCCAATGATCTTACGATGTCCCTTCTAGCCCCTACAATCTATGAATCTAAGTACAGGAAAAACCCTGTGTGTTCCCCAGGGCAGTAAATGTGCACTTAACCACCTTGGCCATTTTTGCCTTTGATTCCCTGCTGGACAGGTGAAAAGCAGAGCTGTTTGTCAGGGAGGGGCTGTGCATGCTGCTTCTGGCATTGCCAGCTTGTGTAGTTTGAGAGGGAATGGAGACCAGGAAAGGAAAAATGGTAGGTAGTATGGTTTGCAAACAGATGCATGTTTAACTGTGACAGTGCAGGACCTTCATATTCACTGCGCCAGTCTGATCTCACAGGGCATTTATACGTGTGGTCTGGAGGGGGGCACTTTAATTAGAGTGGCTCCAAGAGCTGCTGTAATGAAGGTGCCTGCAGCGTCTGGTATATCAGCATCCCCGTCCTGAAAAATGGTGGTGGGGGAGCTTTAACTAAAGCATGTTGAATGAGCAGACTCCATTGCGTCTGCTCTGATATGCTGTAATTACAGCATGTTGGAGCAGCCTCCCTGCATGTGTATAGGTGCCCATAGTGGTATAAATTTAGAATGACTCTATTGAAGTCAATAGAACTAATTAGACCAGTGTAAATCTGGGGTGAGATCAGAAGTTGGCTGGCCCAGTTAGTTTGGCTAGAGAATGGCTAGGGGATTTTAGCCACTCTCTGTAGGGCATGTGGAACTCATTTGCAGGAAAAAAATAACTGGCAATATATAAATCTTGAAGTGTTCAATGTAGCAGGTGAGTCAATGTTTTCTGGCTTAGGCCAAATTGAAACAGATACGCCTCTAACAAAATTCTTGCAACATTTTGAAATTAAAAACAAAAGAAACTTTGGTTAATTGCAGTAGGCTGATTACATCACTTTTTATTTTTCAGATCCAGGCAAGTTTGTTAAAAGGAAGAGGATTAGGGTGGTACATCAGAATTCACATGACAAATACAGCCTTTCCATGTGAGCCCTGTGGAGTCTGGAGTTGGCACATGATCCCTAACAAAATATTAGCCAAGGCTGCCTAATGACCATGAGGCTAAATTCACAGACATTAAAGACTTTATTAAAGGGATCTATATGCTCTCATACATACCAAAGTGGATCAGGACAACTATAGATCGGTGGAAGATAAAAGTGCTTGAATAGGCCCTACAGCTAGCTGTAGGCAAAGCCATTGTTTTATGTTCTAATCCTCCCATGTGCTCAAACAGGTAATTGTTTTTACTGTTTGGGTTTTATCTAGCAATTTAGTACCAATTATTTTGATGGAGTTGCAATTCTGAGCTTCAGCAAAGGAGGGTGAAGCAGTGACCAAGCTGGACAAGCTCTCCCAGCGATTTTGAGAGGGTAGAGCTGTGCTCCCAATTAAAGTTGTGGAGAGTTGGAGTAACTCCACTGACTACAGTAGAGATACTCACACTGGTGCAACTGAGAGCAGAGTTTGGCTCAGGCTGTTTATTCTTTCATTGTGTCTTATAAGTTAATTAATTCTAATTGGGAGAGTAATTACCACATTACTGGGTCTGTTTACTGTTTTTGGTAACATTCAGCCTTTCATTGTAAGGGACTTTGCCACATTAGTTGACTACATTTCCCCACTGTGAAGTGCCCCCTTTTTCAAGTGGTATTAAGATGGTAAGGAGGCTGCTTGTGCAGCATTGTGTATTTCCCTCTGCATGAGCCCATCAAGCCTTATGCAAAAATCTATATTAGGTGCAGAGAAGCCCCCATTTTTGTAGTACCTGAGGGCCTCAGACTAGACTGCTAATGCCTCACTAGAACCCTAGGAAGGAGGAAAATACTTTTATTCTCAAATTATAGCTGGAAAACACTATGCAGCCACTGAGTGTAGATTTGAAATAATAGAAAAAAGAAGAGGTTGTAGTACTCCTGTCAGCATGTAGAAGACTTACTGGACACACATATGCATTCACACACATTCTATAGCTAGTGAGTAAAATTATGATAATAGGTTTGCTGTCATGAACAAATTTACTTGCTAACTTCTTTTTAAGGTCGCTTTTGTAAAATGATATGCATCCTTTCCAGCTGTCTGTCCAGGAATGACCATGACCCACTTCTGCACAAGCAGTGGCATGATTGTTCATCTAGCTGTTGTAAGATACTCATTTCTGGTGATCTGTTCTACAAGAACCAGACATTCAGGACATGGAGCTGCAAGTAAGCTAGGAATAGTGATTTCTTCCACCATAGATCAGTTAAATGAATAAATATGAGAACCAAGTCTGATAGTCTGACTGGCAAGTTGGGTTTGCAAGTGTGGTTTGCAACCCTTTGAAGTCCAGACCCACATAGCCCAGCTGCATAGATCCAGGAGTACTACTGCTATTCTGAAATGCTAATCATGAACTGTCTGCTGTATTTTACAACATAATACCCTGCAGTGAAGATCTGCTACAGAAACTTGCCCATGTTTCTATTGCTTGACATGTTTGGTTTTTTTTCCCCTTCCCCATTCTAGTCACTTGCAGGCTTGTTCTCAATTACAGCTCTTACGTAGTCAACACATCTGAGCATGTGCACAACTTTAAATAGATGAGTTCTGTTGAACTGAGTGGGACTACTCATGTGATTATAGTTATGCATGTGCTTTAAATGTTTTTCCAGATCAGGGTCTTAAAAGGCAACATGAATCTTTATTACCTATTTGTGGGAGTACTTCCGTCTCACTTGCTGTCATTAATCACCTTGCCCCTTGTATCTGTACCTATTCTGAAAAAAATTAAAAAATGTAAAGATCAGAGAAAACAAACATGACCAAACAAATAGCTTTCCATAAGCTGTTTACATTTCTTCTTTTTATTGTTTTTCCCAACTGTCTCCCATGCAAAGCTTCCTGCAATTTCCTTTTATATACTCTGTCTAGATTGTAACCTCCCTGGAAGCAAGAACCTCATCTTTTTACTTCCCTGCTTATCCACTTCAGAGAGAGATGAGATCAGTGACAGAAGAATTAATTATATTAAAAGTAGTAATATAGCAATTACCTTCTGAAAGATAAGAGTCTCAGCCAAGACAATTCAGGGGTGTTTTTTTAATTTAAAATATTCACATTAGGAAATAAGTACTTTGAGTGAGCAAAAGTTAGAAATGTGCGAAGCTTTGCAGTACAATAACTAGCAGAGAGTGGGTAGTTAACTGTATTTAGTCTAAAGTCAGGCAGAAGACAGGGCATGGCAGGGTGGCACCTTACAGATTGATTCATTCAGAGAAGCATAAGCTTTCACAGGCAACAGGCCTACTTCGTCAGATGCTATGAAGGCATTGTTTAAGTAGGTTGTCACCTATAAAAGTGTATGCCTCCGAATGTATCAGTCTCTGGGGGCCACACCCTACCTTCTGTCAGTGCAATAACTGACTGATTCTTGTAACCAAGTAATTCTGTCATGATGGATGTAACACCTTTCATTTTGAAACAAACAAAAGCCGAACTCTCAAGAAGCATGCACACCTTGAAAAGTAAATGCACTCTCTCATCTTGGCTATCTTGGTTTTCCTTTCCCTTTCTGGCCTTCTTCACTCCTGTGTTGTTTTCACTGGGATTATTTGACCCCAGCAGTCTTTCCTGCTCAGAGCAAGGGGGGGCTCTCGACTTGATCTCACAAGGTCTCTTCCAGCCCTCAACTTCTGTGAATCCCTTTCTAGCTCGATCTTTAAACCCTTATTAATGTGTGTGGTATTCACCTCCATAGCAGTCACCTTGATTTCAAGAGTTATGCATCTGAATAAGGGCTTGAAAGTTCATATTAGGCCCTGAATCCAAAGACCAATGCCCACCAGTAGCCCCACAGGAGCAAGCAGTTACATGGGGACAATTTGGTTTCAGAAACCAGTGTCCGTCTTTGCAGGAGCCATTCTCTGGAGGTGGGGGGGTACCTTTTATTGAATCAATAGCATGCTTGGGATAAGACAGACAAGTTTCTGAATGCAAGGTACTCTCCATGGAGGGGTCTTCCTGTGACTGTAGTCTTCAGAAATCATTTTTCTTGTTTGTGTATAAAACGGCCAGGCTTGCTAGTCTTCATGAATGAAGAAATCAGCCAGAGTGACTATGTGCTTAGCCTGACAAACACTTCTTCAGGCTGGAGGTTGGCCATTGGTGCTCATTGAGTAGGCAGGCATGTCCACCTGGCCTAGCGGCAGCCCTCACCCCACTACCTCCCCTCATCCCCACGGTTTCTAGCAGCGTCAGAGCCTGGAGGAGGAGGGGGAGCGGCCCTGACACGGTCCAGGGCCCCGCTGCTCGCGG